GTTGACACATAAACCTAACCATTACACTCCCTTTGCTCCAGGAAGCCTGGGTGACTCTCTGAGATGGCTTTCCATCAAGAGTCGTTGTTCTCCGACCAGGCACAGTGGCTCACACCTGTAATCCTAGCAATTTGGGAGGCCAAGGTAGGAGGATTGCTTGAGGCCAGGAATTTGAGCTTGCAGTGAGCTATGGTGATGCCACTGCACTCTAGTCTGGGCAACAGAGCAAGATCCTGTCCCCCAAAAAAGAAGAGTTACTGTCTTCCTTACTGTCACTCGTGGGTTGGGTTTTTCCCTGGACATCCCCATCCAGAAAATGGAAGTATGTTATCTTCTGGATTCGCTGTCCTCCACATGACTCTTCTACTCAAAATTCTGAAACACTGCAAGGACTTTAAGTAATTTTACTTATTTTTTCTTCAAAATTAGTTTTGAATTATCTATATAGTTTATTAGTTTAAAAAATTTACAACTCCACAATAAAAAACAAATAACCCAATTAAAAAATGGAATAAAAAATTAGAATGAACATTCTCCAAAGTGGTTATGGAGTGGAAAATTCCACTGACAAGTCTCCACCCCTGCTATCTCCCCTAACAGCTGTCACTCTTGCCTCTGTAAACTGCTTGCAGGCACCAAGGTGGCTCAAGACCCTGCCACTAATAAGCACATGAAAAGATGCTCAACATCATTGGTCATTAGGGAAATACAAATAAAAACCACAATGAAATAGCACTTCTCACCTTCTAGGATGGCTATAATAAAAAAGACAAGACAATAACAAGTGTTGGCTAGGACATGGAAATATTGGAACTCTCATAGGTTGCTGGTGGAAGTGTAAAATGGTGCAATCACTTTGGTAGATAGTTTGACAGTTTCTCAAAATGTTAAACATAAAGTTACCATATGACCCAGAAATTTTCCACCCAAGAGAAATGAAAACATATGTCCACACAAAAACTTATAATAGCTAAATAGTGGAAACCACCCAAAAGTCCATCAGCTGATGAATGGATGAATAAAACACAGTATATCCATATAATAGAATATTATGCATCAATAAGGGAGAATGAAGTACTGAGATGGTGATACAACATGGGTGAACCTTGACAACATTATGCTAAGTGAAAGAAGCCAGTCATAAAAGGTCACATATTGCATGATTCTATTTAAATGAATGCCCAGAATAGGCAAATCCACACAGACAGAAAGCAAATTAGTGATTGCCAGGGACTGGTGGGGAAGGGTTATTGGCTGCTAAAGAGTATAGGGTTTCTTTTGGGGGGTGATAAAATGTTCTGAAATTAGATACTGGTGATGATTGCACAACTCTATGAATATATCAAAACACTGAATTGTACACTTTTAAAAGGTGAATTTTATGGTATGTGAACTATATCTCACTAAAATTATTAAAAATATCTACATAAGTGGTTTTACTTTTGTTTAAATTGCCTCTTGGTATGAACTTCAAAGTTTTTTTTAGTAAATAGAGATGATATTAATTATTCTCATTATATTATACTGTCTAGAAAACATAAGTAGTAAATTTGAATTTGATAAGCCAGTCCACTATTCTCTAAACAATATATTATCTGCAAGCTGTTCATCCACCAGAAACCTTTGAAATAGCAAAACACTTTTCTCTTTGTCAATGGTTTTATGTACCACAGTTACAAGAGAAATGGAAAAGTTACTTGCTGACTTGTTGGTCTCCATAAGTTTTAGTTGATTAAAGAAACAGACAAAATTTCTCACAGCCAGGACTGCCAGGGCTGGGATCCTGATATACTCTGATACCTCTGTTGTGGAAACCACAAGGATTTCAGCCTAGCTCTAGTTCCTCATCACACAAAGATCCAATTATTGAGACAATGAGGATTGCCTAGGAAGAAAGGAATTTTTTTAATATGACAGAGTCTTGCCACGAGAACTGGGAAAGCTGCCTCAGATGGGTCTCTCCCACTAATGCAGACCATGGGCTTTTAAAGAAGGGGCCAACCGCCCTGGGGGAGGTCTTGGTGTAACTAAGAAGGGGCTACAGTGCACTGGGAACAGTTTGTGGCTGGTGGTGAATCTTGCAGTCAGGAAGTCTGCCCAGGGGCCTTCAGAATCTCAGCTCCTTTGTCTCGTAGAAAATCCAACATTTCTGGGAAAGAACTCAAAAGGTCAAGTAGTTAGTTAAGGGATAGGATTATAAAAAAAAAATAGGGATCACTGAAATTTGTTTTACACATCTCACCTCATAATCCATGCTCTCTTCCTGTCTATACAGCTCTAGATAGTAAAAACAATTCAGGCCTGGGCCGGGCGCGGTGGCTCACGCCTGTAATCCTAGCTCTCTGGGAGGCCGAGGCGGGCGGATTGTTTGAGCTCAGGAGTTCGAAACCAGCCTGAGCAAGAGCGAGACCCCGTCTCTACTAAAATTAGAAAGAAATTAATTGGACAACTAAAAATATATAGAAAAAATTAGCCGGGCATGGTGGCGCATGCCTGTAGTCCCAGCTACTCGGGAGGCTGAGGCAGGAGGATCGCTTGAGCCCAGGAGTTTGAGGTTGCTGTGAGCTAGGCTGACGCCACGGCACTCTAGCCCAGGCAACACAGTGAGACTCTGTCTCAAAAAAAAAAAACAAAAACAATTCAGGCTTGTAATCACAGCACATTAGGAGCTGGATCGCCTGAGCACAGGAGTTTGAGGCTGTAGTGAGCTACGATTGTGCCACTGCACTCCTGCCTGGGCAACAGAGAAAGATTCTGTCTCACAAAAAGCGAAACTAAACTAAAAAAACCCAATCCAACCATGGTCACCATGGCTCAGGGTCTATAAATGCGTGGGAATTATATGCAGAATGTTGTGACGTGCGTGGGCATGTATTTTCCTGAGGAGAATCTACACCTAGTATTAGCTTCTCAAAGAGGGTCATCAGCCAACGTTTTGGAGACACACGCCTGGTCCAGCTGCGTTTAGATTCGGCAGCCATGTTTGTGGTTTTAGTTTGCCCAGGGTCCTTTCCCCTTTTTCTTGCCATAGAACCCCCTCTTTGGGAGGGTGTGGGGAGAGTCTTCCCCTGAATTCTACACTGCTGCAGGAGACCTTCCTTTTCCATTTGGTTGCTAAATTTGGAGAATGAAATCTAGGAAATGTTTGCATCATTCCCCCCGCCCCAACCCTCTATGAAGGATGCCCAACTGACCATCAGGGAGGGGTGCAAGGAGAGCCGGGGAAAGGCTGGGAGAGGGGCCAGCTCCAGCCTTGCCTGTCTGCCTTCCCTTTTTCCTTCCTTTCTTCCTTCCCTTCCTCTTTCCTTTTCTTCCTTCCCCTATCACCTCTCCTTCACCTCCCATATCACCCTCCCCCTTCCTTACATCCTTCTCCTATGGGGGTGGAAAATGGAGATGGTAGCCAGGAGATGGTAGGGGTGTGATGTTCCAGGGACCAGCTAGAGAAGGAGTTAAAGGCACAGGGATGAAAAACAGCGTGGTTTGGGAGAGCTGGTTCCTGGGGCTGCTAAGAGGGCATGAACTCAGTGGCTAATAGGATCTGCCATGGCGAATCCCCCAGCAAGGCACGCATCGCACGAAGGGCCGAAGCGCCTGGATGGCTCGAGGTCAGGATTACACAGACGTCGGAGCCAGAGAAGGAGGCTTAAGGAGACAGGCTGCGCAGCCAGAAGTACGGTGATGGGCGTTGTCCTGCCAGGCCCCAGAAGGAAGATTAAGCTCCGCCCCCGCCCGAGGGAGGAGGACTGGCCCCGCCCGCTCCTCCCGGCAGATCCTCCCCCGCAAAGCCCCGGGAATCTTTGCGAGGCTAGGCCAAGACCACCTCCTAATCTCGGATGACTAGTACGATGAACTGAAGGGCAGAGCCAGAGATCAGTCGGGAAGGCTGGGGAGGGGACAGGAGAAAGAGGAAGACCTACCCCGGATCTATGTGCTCCTTTCTGCCTCCCCCTTCCGGCTGCCACTTGGTAGCACCTTCCTGATCCCCTTAACTCTAAGGCGCTCAGGGAAATGCCCCCCTGGAGGAGCCTTCTTTGAAATGCTGCCCTAGCCGCCCAGGAACCATGAGCCCTGCAGCCCCGGTAAGGAAGAGTTCTCTGGGACAGGAGGAAGGGCCCAGGACAGGGGGGACGCCCTTTCCAAATAGGGGATGGGACTAGAAGAAGCCTTTTAGGCCCTGACAGCCCCTGTTCCCTGAATGACATCCCGTAAGTGGGGGTTTGGAAGGCTGACCTCTTCCAGGAAATGATCCTGCAGGGGCAGACGAAGGTGACAGAAACAGGCTTCCTTCTCCAGTTGGGCCCCCTCCAACCAACCCCCAAATCACACCACCTAACTCCTCATCTTGAAATCCCCACTCCCAAGCTCCTGTCACTAAGTCATAATGTCCAAGCTCTTAGCCTGTCATGCATGCCTCTGTTCTATTTCCTTGCAAACCCTCCAGCTCTATATGCCAAACACACTGAAATGCTGGGCACTCTTGAATATCCTGACCAGCGCTCATGGGACCCTTAGGTTCGCCCCGGGAAGCTGCCTCCAAGACCTCCAAGACCCCTTTCAGCCTCCTCTGGGAAGGCTTCTCCTGAAGCCTTCCTGAACTTCTTGGGCAAAATCAGACTCAGACTCTTTCCCGTTGTGAAATCACACGCTCTACTCAAATTGCGTGTTTACATTTAGTCTCCCCGGGCAGACTGGAAGCTGAGGATGGAAGCGGAAAGGGCAATGTCTGATGCTGCCCCGGAGTCCAGTGCAGGGCCTGGCACAAACTGAGCATTGAAAAAGCATGCAAAACTAGGAGCCTGGCTTCTCTCTGCAACTTTACTTTTTTTCCTAGAAAACGAGTTCACAGATTCTTAAGAAAAAGTATTTCATGACAAATGAGTGAATGAATGTCTTAATAGAAAAATAAAGTCGCAGGTGAGGCTGCTTCTGTTCAGCTCTAGGACTGCAGACTACAAGTCCCAGCATGCCTCCGGGCAGCATCGCTCCTCGCCACGCCCCCTCCCTGGGGGAGGGGCGGGTCCGTGGGCGGGTCCCAGGGGCAGCCAGGCCCTGGGCGCAGCCTGAGGAGAGAAGTGCCCCAGGTTCTCTGGGGCGCACAAAAGCGCAGGCGCAGCGGGTTGGGTGGCAGCAGGATCGAGTAGCAGCCGCTTTGGCAGCAGCATCCGCAACAGGTGTAGACAAGGTGGGTCCATCAAGGGGGGCTGGCAAGGGAGTTTGCACCTGGCCCTCTAGCCTGACCTATGTCAAGAGCTTGGAGAGGGGAGTGAGCGACAGGAGAAAGAGAGACAAGGCCAGGCCTTCCAGCCCAGGTGTGCCTGCCCTTGTTACGCAGCACCAGGTGTGAACAGGTGGGGGAGGGGCAAAGGTACCTGCTCCCAAATAAGTGGCCCTCGGGAACAGAGGGCACCTGGATCCCAATCCAAGCTCCATCACGTACATGGACGAGTCATTTTCTGTTCTTCAGTCCATCTGTAAAATAGGAGTAAAGAAGTAAAGATTCCCTTCTTAGGGTTTACAATGAGGACAAGGCGAGGAAGGATGTGCAGTGGCTCCCAAACTTTGCTGTACGTTGGTATCACCTGGGCCTCTTTAAAAACGATCAGCGCTTGCCTCCTGCCCCCAGACATTCTGATTTAATCACTATGGGGTATGACCTGGGTGGCAGGAGTTCTTAAAGCTCTGCTGGTGTAACGGTTTGAAGCCAGGACTATCACAAGGTGTCAGTCTTGGCTCCATCACTTACTAGCCCTGGGGACCTGTGCAAGTGACCAGACCTCTCCAGGCACCAGTTTCCTCATCTCTAAAATAGGGATAACAAGGATGGTTGGGAGGCTTTAATGAGGTAATGGGTGAAGGCACTGAGAAGTGTACCTGGCACATAGCTGCTGTTAAACTGTTATGCACTTTGTAAACAGCTCTTGTGGGTTCCAAGTGTGAGGGAGGCTTTTCTTATCACGACACTCCTTTCATTGCCATGATTTTAATATTCTGTGCTTCCAGCATTTCAAAATTCCAGAGTTTCTAATATTTTAAGAGTTCCTCACTTCAGCCTTTACCTGCCTCACAGACGCACTTTTACAGATCTGGAAACTGAGGCCAGGCCAGAGGGGCAGGGAGAAGGGACTTGGCCAAAGTTATGGCCCTGGAGACTGGAATCCAGGCTCTTGGTCCCCACCCCCACCCCATGCCAACTGGTGGCTGCCCTGCTGACCCTGAGGACAGAGCTCCTATTCTCTGCCTGAGCAGAGAATGGGGAGGAGACTGAGGCGGCCTGGCCCTTGTTTGTTTACTAACACTCCCTTAAACGTTTCCTCGGTGGCTCCCCAAGGGAGCACAGGGCTGGGGGCTTCTCTCCAGGGAACTGCCTTAGGGCTGCTGGTGAGGCCTGTGTGTCCTGTGGCTCCTCTGACAGGTCCCGCCTGACTCTGCCCTGGAAAGTCCTTTTGAAGAAATGGCCCTGGTGAGGGGCGGCTGGCTGTGGAGACAGAGTGAGTGATCCTGGGCTGAGACTTCCTCTGTCCTGTGCCGTGTCCCGGGGCAGGGGCGAGGGAAATGGTATCGGCTTCTTGGGCCTGCCACGGTGAACCCCTTCTCTTCTCCCAAGCACCCGGGACCTTTTTATCCTTCCCTCCTTTGTCCTTGCTTTTCCCCTTGCCTGAATGTCTTTCCCATTCCTGACTGCTTGATAAACTCCTACTGACTCTTCAAGACCCAGCTCAGCTGTCCTCTTTTTTGAGAAGCCTTTTCTGACTTTTCCTCCAACCCCCACCCCTGCCCCTGCTGTATCCCCAAAGCTGGGTTAGAGGCTCCCTTCTCGGTTCCCACACGCCTTACAGCCGTCTCCTTATACTAGAGCTGTCCTTGCCTGTGGGTCTCCCCACTCCCCGACCCCATTCTGGCCCCAGATTGGGAGCTCCTCAAGGGCGGGGACTGGTGTGACCCTGTGTGTGTCCACAGCACCCTAGCCCAGGGCGGGACACAGAACAAGGCACAGAACGAAATGAAAGATGCCTCTGTGCTTTGGACTCTGTGAAGCTCTAAGAGGCTCTCTTATGTCTTTGCCCTTTTGTGTTAAGATTTCTAGTTGCACAATGTCTGAAGCTGGGTCTTCCAGACCCACCTTTGCCCGGAGTCATGCTCTGAAGAAGGGGTGTCCTGGGGACCCTGGGATGAGGAGCTCCCATGCCCCCTGCTCCCTAGCCCCTCTCAGTTCACTCAGTCCGGCCGAGGGCCAGAACCAGCGTGGGGAGGTGCAGACACTACACAAACAACTGTCACTCGAGTCAGAGATAAGACGGAGGCTGACGGTAGGGAGAGGTCTTTGCCCTTGAAGAGACTGGGGCTTGGCCTGGGAAGCTCCCAAGCAGCAAGTGCAGTTACTCATCCACCGCTCAGCACATTTATTGAGCTCCACTGTGTGTCCGGTCTAATGGAAAGCAGGTGGTGAGCGAGACAGAGGCCCCCCCCCCCATTTCAGGGGGTGGAGAGACAGGAAGAAGTGGTTCTAACATGGGGGCTGGGCTGAGGGGACTCTGGGAGCTGGCCTGGGGCTCCTATCCCAGCACGCTCTGGGATCAGCCTGCCTGTGGGTCTGCAATACCGCACAGGCTCCATCCTCCGCCGCTGGAAGCGGAACTGGTTCGCCCTGTGGCTGGACGGGACCCTGGGCTACTATCACGATGAGACAGCACAGGACGAGGAGGACCGTGTGCTCATCCACTTCAACGTCCGCGACATAAAGATCGGCCAAGAGTGCCACGGTGAGCAGAGCCTCTTCCTCTGTGGCACGGTGACTATGTGCAGGCCCTCCCGCTGTATCTGAGAACGTCTGCAGCTGGAAAGCTCTTCGCAGCTTACAGACATTGCCTCTGAGCCTCTGTCAACTGCAGTTCAGCTGGGTGTGGATTAAGAAATTGGTCCCAGGTGTGGTGGTTCACGCCTGTAATCCTAGCATTCTGGGAGGATCGCTTGAGCTTAGGAGTTGGAGACCAGCCTGAACAAGAGAGGGGCCCTGTCTCTACTTAAAAACAGAACAAATTAGCTGGGTGTGGTGGTGCACACCTATAGTCCCAGCTACTCGGGAGGCTGAGGCAGGAGGATTGCTTGAGCCAGGAGTCTGAGGTTGCTGTGAGCTAGGCTGATGCCATGGCACTCTAGCTGGAGTGACAGAGTAAGACTGTGTCTCAACAAAAAAAAGAAAGAGAAAAAAGAAGTCGGTCCTTTACTGAGTTTCTACTCTGTGCTGTGTCTCAGAGGTGAGTCAGACACAGTTCCTGCCCTCTAGATGCTGGGTACTGGATAAAGATGAAATGAGGCTCAGACAAGTTAAATGACTGGCCCAGAGTCGCACAGCAAATCTCCAAATTCCTTGACCAAGGCTCAGACCACAATTATAACAGGGTAACCAGGAGATGTACTAGAGAAGCCAGCAGCGCAGAGAGGTTGAAAGGGTTTGAAGAGTAGGATCCCAAAGAAAGTGTGTGGGATCAGGGGAGCTTGGCAATGGCCTGCGAACAGGAGCCAGAGAAGTCAGTTCCTGTTCTTGTTCCTGGTTTGCTGGGGGGACCTGGGGCCCGTGCCTGTGGAAACCCATATGTGTGTGTCTGCTTCTAGATGTGCAGCCCCCAGAGGGCCAGAGCCGAGATGGCCTGCTGACCGTGAACCTACGGGAAGGTTCCCGCCTGCACCTGTGTGCAGAAACCCGGGATGATGCTGTGTAAGTCACTCCCAGGAGAGGACGGGTACAATCTTGGGGAATGTGACCACATACCCCCTCTTGATCGCGCGTTTTGGTTCTCTGACAGTAGGAAGAGGGCACTGAGACCAGTCAGCAAGGGTGTCTCATTGAAGGCTGGGCAGAGTGGATTTGAGTGGCGACTGGTATGGGACACAGTAAACTCCTTACATGGTCTGTGACAAAGTCAGGATTGTTGAGGGAGTGGTGTGTACTCCTACCTCAGGTGTGCGGCCCCTGGTCATTCAGAATCAGGTAGTTAGCACCTCTGAGGTACGTCCTCACCTGGGGGTGATCCAAAGGAGCAGACAAGCCCAGTGGCATCTGTAAAGGACCCTCCGCTCATTCCCTTCTGGGAAGATGCCTTGCCTTGGTGGGGGGGACTCTGATCTGCGGAATAGACCCAGATCTGCCTACAGAGGCAGCCAGCTGTGCCCCAGGCAGGGGTACCCCAATGTCAGATGCATGTCCACTCAGGCACTGGCTGCTCACTCACATTCCGTCCCTTCCTACCCTCTGGCTGAGGGACACTTGGCCTTTGCGCTGGAGGACAGCGAGATGGGCGTGTGGGAGTGGGGGAAGCTGAGCGCGGGCAGGCAGCACAGAGCTGCCTTGTCCAACCCGGCCAGGTGCCATGACAACCAACAAAGGCCCAATTGTCCTGTGTCTACTGGGCCTTCCTGGGCTCTGGGGTCACAGCTCTGGGGAACTGTATTTATAGATTTGGGATGTGAAGGTGGGTTCAGCTAGAGTACCCGCCTAGGTATGTCAGAATCTGAAGGCCCCTAAGAGACCACCCAAGAGCTGGGCGCGATGGCACGAGCCTGTAGCGCGCCTGTAGTCCCAGCTACTCGGGGGTCAGAGGTGGGTGGATCGCTGGAGCCCAGGAGGTTGAGGCTGCAGTGAGCTAGGATTGTGCCACTCTGGCCTGGGCAACAGAGCGAGACCCCATCTCTAACAAAAGAAAAGAGAGAGTCCATATAAGCCCAGCTCTCCACTCTATAGATGGAGAAATTGAAACTTGTGGAGGGGAAGAGACTATGGACTAAGAATGAATTAGCCTAACTTTGGGCTCCATCCATGTGACTGGGGCAGGGGAGGGGTCGCTTTTGTCTATCCGAGGGAGTCCAGATGAGCTCCCCCTTCATGAGAGGCTGGGGCTTGAGGATGGGTTGGGGAGGAAAGTCCAAAATATGGGGACCCAGTCTGCCTTCCCCCAAACTCCCTCCTCATGTCTGTGGGATTTGCTTTGTAGAGCGTGGAAGACGGCACTGCTGGAGGCAAACTCCACCCCGGTAAGTCCCCCATTCTCTCCCTTCTCTTCCCCACCCCCCATGCCATGGAATCATGGGTGACTCAGACTCGGTCTCCACCTGCCAGGAGTTCTCACTATAGTGTGGACAGGTTTGTGCAGACTCAGATGCCCTGAGTCCCAAGTGGAAAAGGACAGAGGACAGCCAATTGGTGCTCAAATGAGGCAGAGAAAAAAGCCTCCATGAAGACTTGCAGGGGTGGCATGTGAGCTGGGGAAAAGGAACTGTCTTTTATTGAGTAACTATTATGTGCCAGGCATGGGGCAGATATAATTCCAGCTACTCCTCATAACAGTTCTTTGAGGTTGGGATTATTATTCCATCTCTGCAGCTGATAAGACTGAGATTCATTCATCCATGTGACAGATATTTACTGAGTTCCTACCGTGTGCCAGGTGCTGTGCCAAGGGCCAGGGATCAGAGGTAAACCAAGGAGATGTGGGTCTTGCCCTCCTGGACTCAGCCTAGAGAGGAGCCTGACATGAAACAACTAATTGATTAAGAATTATTCCAATTCAATAGTGGTGACTGCTCTGATGGAGACTCACAGTGTGTGACCCTTTGGTGGCCTGATCCAGGTGGGAGTTCAGATGAGGTGTAAGCTGAGACCTGAAGGATAAACAGAAATTGGGTGGAAAGTGTGGGATGGAGTGAAAAGGACATTCCAAGCAGAGGGATCAGCATGTGCAAAGGCCCTGTCAGGGGTTAGGACACTGGCAAGTTGAGGAACAGAAGGAAGGCTGGGGTGGCTGGCGCTCAGGCGAGTGGGTAGTTGGGAAGGAGGGTTGGCAGGGCCAGGCCTTGTGGTCTGTGTTAAGGGTGTTGGTTTCTGCTAAGAGCACCGGGAAGCTATTGAAAAATTTTAAGCAGAGGGATGGTGTGATCAGATCAGATTTTTGTTTTTAAAAAGACAGTCTGGCTGGTAGGTAGGAAATGAATTGTAGTGGGTAAGTGTGGACACCCAGAGGCCAGTGAGGAGACTGGGACAGTGTCTAGGCGACAGGCTGGGGGTCTGGACTAAGGCCTTGCTGGCAGAGATAGGCTGATGAGCACAGGACATATTTAGGAAGTGGAGTCACCAGCCCAGTGGAGGTGTGGATTTGAAGAGCTGCCCTGCCCAGCTTGGCTTCCACCTCCATTGGCCCGACTCTAGAATCTGCGCTTGCTGCTTCTATCTGTGGCACGGTGAAGTCCCCTCTCATCCAGAGAGAAAGTTCCTTTGGGAAGTAGCAGGGCAGACTGGGATGCATTTAATAACCCCTTTGGGCATCCACCTGGTGAGGCCCAGGTATTGTGCTGAGCGCCTGGCGTTGGTTACATCATTGCATCTTCCAGCAACCCTGGCAGGCGAAAGGGGACGGGCCGGTATTATTAGTCCCATTTTATTGATAAGAAAGCTGAGGTTCAGAGAAGGGAATTGATTTGTCCAGAGTCTCATAGTCTTGAATCAGTGGAAGAAGCTGTATTGGAACGTAGGTCAGTGAGACTTTGAGAGGAACTGCATGAGCAGAGACAGGGAAGCGATGTGTGCACGTGCGTGTCCACATATGCATGCATCTAAGGGCCCGGAGTCTGGGGAGGGTGAGGCATGGAGGGCATGAAACAGGAGAGATGACCTCTGAGGTCATCGGGGCCAGTTCTTGAAGGGCCTTGAAGTGCAGGTTGAGGAACGGGACTTTCCTGAGGCTTGTGGGGAGCAACAAAGGGCAGTCAGCAGGGAGGGCTGCAGTCGGACTTTGGGGGGCAGACTCAGGCTTGCAGGTGGAGGGTAGATTGGAGAAGGCTGGGAGCAAGGAGGCTGGAGTGTAGTAGCCAGCAGGGTGGAGGGACCCAGGCTGGGCTACCCCGGCTCTGAGATCCAAAGCCCCCAAAGTAAGGCAAATCCCACCAAGAGAGGCAGAAGGAAGGAGGTGAGGGTGACCGTTCTGCGTTCTGTGACTCTATGAAGCTGCCTTTTCCTTCTCTGGCTGTCCACCTGGTGCTCTACTTACCCCTTCTCTCTGCCCTGACCCTCTCAAACTCTGGCCTCGAGGCAACCTTCCCACCTGGCCTCCCAAAGTGCCGGATTACAGGCGTGAGTCACCACGCCCCGCCTGCCCCAGTCCTCTCTTCCGCCTCCCAGTGCTCCACATGCACACAGCCCTCTGGGCCCGGGGCCCACTAGAGCGGGTGTGTGTTTGTGCCTATGTGTTTGTACCTGCGTCTGCCGGTCTTTGTGTGTTCACATCTGTGTTTGTGGGCTTCTCTCTGTCCCAGTGTCTACATGGTAATGACCTGCGCTTCGTCCCTCCACATGCTGCAGGTTCATACCCCACTCTGGGTGGAGGCTCCAGGAACCCCTGACACCAGCTGTACCAGGGAACACAGGGCCTGGGGGGCGCAGCCAGAGGCAAGGCTGGGGTGGTGGTGAAGGGGGCCAGGTGGGTGGGAGGACAGATCAGAGCTGTCCTGTCCTCTCTGAAGACTGGGAGCCTTGGCTGCATGAAACAGGGGAGGGTGAGTTAATTCTAGAAAAAGACTGCTCTTCCTTCTTCTCTGTGTAATGTAGCAGTCACCACTCCTCTCTGAGCCTCCCCCCATGAGCTGAGGAGGAAGAGGACACCCCCTTGCCCCAGCCCAGCAGGCCGAGGGCTCTGGTAGGGCCTGGTAAGAGCTCTGAGTCTCTCCTGATGTAGAGGACCTCTGACACCTCCCTCCCTCCCCCTTCTTGGGTTTCTGTGGCTTAAGCAGGCCCCAGTTGGAGCCACCATCCCTCCCAGGAGCCGCCGGGTTTGCCCCAAGGTCAGGTGTGTGACCTACTCATGGAACCCCTGTAAGTTTGAGAGGCGAATCTGGGTAAGTGCTGGCTCAGGCCTCCCTGCCTCCCAAACCAGGCCTGGTCACATCCCTTCCCTGCTCACATACATTCCATGGCTCCCTGTCACCCATGGGACACTGACTACATCCTGGCTTTCAAGGCCCCGGGGATCTGGCCAGTCTCGCCTGCCACATCCCCTCATCCCTGTCCTCCAACTGCTCCGCCGTACCCTCTGCCCCAGCCACACCCGCCCTTTCTTCCAGCCTTTGCACCTGCTGATCTGCTGCCAGGACCCTTCGTTTCCTCATTCCCCGGACAAACTGGTGCTTATCCCTTAAGGCCCACCTCGAAGGCTGCTACCTCTTCAGTGAGGACTTCCCAGACCCCCAGCCATTGTCACTCCCTCCCACAGCCCAGTACTAACGCTGAGTACTGTCTTCATTCCTCCTGGTTTCAGAGTCAGTTTATTCCTGTCTGTCTAGTCTCTCATGAGACCTGGAACTTCCTCTAAGGCCAGGACCAGGTCTGCGCCTATGGAGCCTGGCACAGGGCTAGGTATACAGCAGGGGCTCAATGAGTGCTGAATGATGGGGACAGTCTATGCCTGTGGTCCCCAACTCCTGGGCCACAGACTGGTACTGGTCAGTGGCCTGTTAGGAACCGGGCCACACAGCAGGAGGTGAGCAGTGGGCGAGTGCTGGAAGCTTCATCCGTGTTTACGGCTGCTCCCCACCGCTTGCCGTCCCCCTCACCTCAGTCCGGGGAAAAACTGTCTTTCATGAAACCAGTCCCTTCCATGAAACCAGTTCCTGGTGCCAAAAAGGTTGGGGACCACTGATCTACGCTGAGCCTCAAGGTCTGGCACAAGTAGGCCTCAGGGAATGTTCTGGGGTCTGGGGTGGGGCCTGGGAAATCTGTAGTTTTAAACATTGCTCCAGGTGCTTCTGATGTGCAGAACCACCGAGGCTGGAAGTGCTTGGGCCACCTGGTTGCATAGATGAGGCTCGGCTGGAATCTCACAGTGCCTGGGAGTGGCCAGTGGAGGAGAGAGTACTGGCAGGGGAGAAAGCTGAAGTGTCTGGGAGGTTACTGAACGTGATCAAGGTCACTCAGTTCATCAGTGGCGGGCCTGGGACTCCCGGCCCATCATTCTGAAGTATTCCCCATGCTAAACCAGGATACCAGTTTTTTTTTTTAAGTGGGGATGCCTAAAAGTAGGATTTAAAAGACTGCACAACAGCTTATCTGTTGTGACCCCCTGATTGGCCAACACTGTCCCATCCACAAAGGAGCTGGGGCACTGAAGGAGAGAAACAGCAATCAAAGCCTCAGTTTCTGCCCATGCGTCTCTGGGGTGTCCCTGCCTGTTGCCAGGTGACTTATGTGAGTCATAAGTCACCAGAGCTGGGCCTCCCAGAGCTGGAGAAACAGGTGCTCCAGAGGGACATGAGGTGGTATTTTCCATCCTCTCAAGGGCCTCACAGGGCCACTGGCTCACTGTGCATCTGCAGGGCAGGTGGAGGCTCTGGACCTCAACTTCCCTCCCAGTAGACTTGGATCTGAGTGCTTAGATCCCTCTAGCCCCTTCTGGGCATGGAGCCCATATCCTGGCCACCCTTCCAGAAAGCCCTATTGGATCACCCTTGTGGAGGGAGCACAGCAAGTAGAGTTAATTGAGACAGGGGACCCACAGCATTGTTAGTCTGATCCTCCTGCATTGCTCTGGGACTGTTTGTTCTCCTTAACTTGAAATCGAACTTAGAGTTGGATGACCTTAGTTCCAGTCTGGCCCTGTATTTGATTCACTTGAGATAAATTCTATAAACGTTTATTAGGCCCCTGCCATGTTCCAGTCAGCTCTGATTAGACCCAGTGTCTGCACTTGCAGGGATCCCCAGGTCTGATGGGAGAGAGAGACACGCACAGGGATGCACTGATAAGACGGCACGATCAGTGCTGTGATGGAGGAAGTCCAAAGGCTATAGGAGTCCAGATGGACCCCAAGAGAGCCTGAGGTTCAGGGAGAGTGATACTTGAGTCTGAAGGACAAGTTACGTAGTTGAATGAGAAAAGGCGAGAAAGGCGTCCCTATTAAAGGGAAATGGCATGGAGACCTGAAATCACAAGGTGTGCTTGGAGAACTCCCCTTTACAGCCAAACTTCTTCAAAGAGATATCATGACATGTTCATTCCATCCTCACCTCTCAACCATTCTTTAACCCTCTATGTAGTTTGGCTTCTTCCCAACCATTCTTCTGAAAGTGTTTTTTTAAGGTCACTCACAACTTCCAAGTTGCTAAAACCAATGGCTTGTTTTCTTGGCATTGGCCGAGGGTGGACAGAAGAGCATGTTTAGACGATAAAATAATGAGACCTAGTGGCTGATGTGACGTGGAAGGCGAGTGTGTGGAGAGACAAGGGTGCCAACCTGCTTTCTTGGTTTGAGTGCATGGCGGTGGCATGCAGAGTAAAGTATGTGTGGGAAGGGGAACAGGTTTGGGGGATGGGGCAATGTAATCACCTTGAGATGAGTGGAGTTTGAAACACCTGAACTTTGGAGGGGAGTTGGACCATTCAGGTGTGAAGCCCAGTTAGAAAGAAGGGGGCTAAGATGAAAGATCCAGAAGAGAAGGGGATCCTGCCCCCTCTCCAGATCTGTTCCCCCATGGGTAAAATGAGGGGGTTGGAGTGAGAGCTTCCATTTAAGTCAGCACATATTTATTGGTTCGTGTTAGCACTAGGCCCTGCTAGTGACACAAACGAATCAGAGTCCTTGCCCACAGGTAGCTCACATTTGGGGTTCTCCAGACAGGAAAGGCCAGGGGAAAGGATAGCAAGAAGAGGCATGAGCAAAGTCCAGAGGACTCAGGAAGAAAGAATTCTTTCTGAGACCTAGGAGAGTTTCTGGAGTAGGTAACCTTTAAGCAAGGCTTTGAAGGGTTGGTATAAATCTAACAGGAGAAGAGGGGAGGGTAGGGAGTGTGTTCTGGAGAGAACATTGACCATTCTCTCTCCAACTCTGTGGTAACATGGAGATAATACCTGCCTTAAGGATTGTTAGAGGCAGAAACAAGCGTGTACACTTCCCTCAGGACCTGGTACGTAGTGGATACTCAATAATAGTTACAGCCATGCACAGCATAACGATGTTTCGGTCAAAGACCATATATACGATGGTGGTCCCATAAGATTATAAAGGGTCTGAAAAATTCCTATCACCTAGTGCCACTGTAGCCATCATAACATCGTGGTGCAGTGCATTACCTTTTCTATGTTTAGATATGTTTAGACACACAAATACTTGCCATTGTGTTACAACTGCCCACAGGATCCAGTGCAGTAACACGCTGTACAGCTTTGTAGCCTAGGTGTGTAGTAAGTACACTCTATGATGTTTGCATGCATGACAAAACTGCCTAACGAAGCATTTCTCAGAATGTATCCCTGTTTAAGTGACACATGACTACTGTAGTTACTCCCCACCCCTACCCTTCCTTCTTCTCCAACCCCTGTTTATTTCCGGGGCCTGGGGCTTGGCCATGTTGCTTTGTCTGTGACTAGAAAAATAGAGAAATCCATTGGTTTTCTAGAGCTGCTAGCAAATATTCGACTATCTGTGAAGGGATGTTGGGAGAATGTTTTGAGCTGGGTGGGGGCCAGGAGAATGGGCAGCACTGGGAGATGGATGTAGGGGCTGAAGTTTTAGAGGACAAAGACCACGGAACTTGTCGGGAAGGCAGGGCCTTTATCCAGGAGCTTGCTCCTGCCTTGGGGAGGAGGCTCCATGAGGCCCAGGGAGGCCTGAGCAGGGCGTGGGAGGTAGGGGACCAAACCTGGGTCGGGGAGTTCCTTGGCACCTGACCTGGCTGGATTCCCCAGGTGCGCGTCTACAGCCCGTACCAGGACTACTACGAGGTGGTGCCCTCCAATGCACACGAGGCCACATATGTCCGCGGCTACTATGGACCGCCCTATGCAGGTAAGTCCCCCGCAGGCCCTGCCCATGGTCCATCAGTCAGGACCAGGCCACACGCTTTTAGTGTACGCTGCTTTTTCCAGGCAGTACCCTCCGCAAGCCCCTCCCCATCCCAAGATTCAGAATAGCCCTGGGACTGGTGTCCCTCCCCCACTCCAGAGCTGACCTCATTTCTCCAGGCCAGCCCCTGGTCAGCCTGGCTGCTCAGCAATACCCATTCCTGAGCCGGTAGCGACCCCTGGTGGTCAATGCGGGAATGACCGCCTTCTGGCTCCAGGGTCTGGCAGTTGGGAAGGCCCATCCCGGGGTGCATGGTCGTGTCACAGACCCCGGGTTTCCCCGCGCTTCCAGAACATCCGTAGCAGATCCAAGGCCTGGAAGCCCTGGGGTGGAGCCCTTCCCGTGTCAAGGTCTGTTTCCCCGACTGGGGAGCCGGGGGGCGGGCTCAGTGCCTTACGGTGGGTTGGGCTGGAGTCTCGTCGGAAGGGAATGAAGATCACCCTGCTCCCTCTTCTGAAGTCCCCTACCCTCATGGGCTTTCTCCGCAGGCCCTGGCGTGACGCACGTGATAGTGCGAGAGGATCCCTGCTACAGCTCGGGCGCCCCGCTGGCCATGGGCATGCTCGCAGGAGCCGCCACTGGTGCGGCGCTCGGCTCGCTCATGTGGTCGCCTTGCTGGTTCTGAGCCCTGGGACTCGGAACACTGGACCCTGCGCGTAGACTGCTAGAACCCTCTTTCTCCTGGACCCCACCCTTCACCCTCCAAGCCCTGTCCCACTTTGGCCCTTTCCTCTCCATTAAATCCTTCCGAGCTTGAACTATCCCTCCCACTCCCTCCCTCACCCCCCACATCGGAAGAAGCTATGATCCCAGGCACAAACATGGGTCGAAATCTTCACATCTACCGCTAGACACCCCAGAAATCTGATAAAGACACCTATAGATAAATTTCCTCCAAACACACTAGGACACAGCAAACACAACGTCATTTGGTCTCAAGAGTTCCACGGCGCTGGAGACACATGAGTTGGGCTGTCTGCCCTGTCCTGGGGAACTCCAGGCCTGGTGGGGAACACAAAAGTAAACAAACACTTAACAAAACTGCAGAGTTATCAGTCCTTTGACAAGGACACGTGGGGGCAGGAAATGAGGCAGGTAGACTGGGGTTATGGTTATTGGCAAGTATACAGAGCCGTGAATGTCATGGCACATCCAAGAAATTAAGGGAGAGTTCATTTGAGTTGGGTGAAGGCAGGGATCATATGGTGAGCCTCTAGGCTAAGGACTTGCTGGGTAAAGGGGAGATGTGAGCTTTCTATGGAGGGAAGTTTCATGATTGCGCCTATAATGAATATATTGCCTGTTTTAATACTAACACATGCCCATACCCAAAACACCCCTGAGTATAGCCCCATCCTTCCCACCAGCAGCTTCCTTGGTCCCCTGTTACCCATGACAATTGAGCTGAACCTGGGGGCCTCTGGTTGGGGGACAGGTGAGTTGTGTTTGGCACCTCCAGCCCTAGGAAGTTGCCTCCATCAGGAAATGCCTTTCTGATCCCAGGAGCTCGGCCCTCTGTTCCTAGTTGTGACTGTCACCATCTCAGGCTTTGTCTCTTCATCTAGGGAAGATGGCAGTGTTCCCTTCTGGGGCCTGATCTATCCTTGTGCTAGCCTGGGAAGCCCCACATATGCCTGCCTTCAGGTGGCCATGCAGTCTCCCTGTTTGGTCGTCTTCCAGTCTCTTCCCTCATCCTGTCCCAATCACCAGTAGAAATGCTAACATCATTACCCAGCAGCCAGAGTAGCCCACTAAATTTCCCCTGTAGACGGGGGCTCCGTTGGTTCTACTGCAGAGACTAATAAAAGTGCAGTTGGCTCTCGCCCTGTCTTTGGCTTGCTTTGTTCTCCTAGGAGGCCACATCTCCCTGGGACAGCTCCATAACCCAGCATCTACTAGTGCCCTCTCTGGTATAGTGAGAAGAGTATGGATTCTGAGTTCAGGAGGAACTGGTGACAGAATGTTAGCTGAGCAATTTGGGGCAAGTCACTTAACCTTTCTGGATCTTTCTTTCCCTACCCATAAGGTGGCACATTGAAGCTGACCATCCCTGAGGGCTCTAGACGAGAGGCTGCATCAGGTCTCTGTTGGCCGAGCTGATGGATGATCAGCCAGGCCCTGTCTGCTTTCTGAGGGTCCTGTGGTATCAGGGTCTTTTCCAGTAGGTTCTCCTCCTAGAGCTGAATCAATGAATTGTTCTCATAGAGACCAGGTGGCCAGGGAAGGAAATACAGCCATCCTGCATCAGTCCTCTTGAGGCCTCAAGGGACAGAAGCCCCCTGCTCGAACTGATTTAAGCCAAAGAAAATACTGGGCCACATAACTGAGAAGTCCAAGAACTGTTTGATCCAGGGGCTCAAACAGTGTCACTAAGACTTTGCTTTGTTTCCATCTTTATAGTCACTGGGATGGCTCATTTGGAGGCTGCAGCGGTGTTCAGTAACTCCAGACTAATGCCCTCCTGAGTTCAAGTCCAGCCAAAAGGATTTCTCCTCCAACAGTGTGATAAAAGTCCTGGGCCTGATGGACATCAGCCCAAACTGGGTCCTGTGGTCAATCCTGAATGAATCACAGCGGCCTGGAGAAGGATGGTCTAAAACAACTGGGCTTACAGCAGGGGTGGTGTCATATCCCAAAGGAAACTTGGGGCACCGTTGCTAGAAGTAGGATGAATAGGTGAGGGCTTGCTGGCAAAAATATCAGGTGTCCACCTCAGCCGTACTTCCAGAGACACAAACTTAGAGGGGAGACAAACGGTCATGATTCAATGAGGTAAGGGAGGAACACAGTATAGTAGGAGCTCTGCAGAGGAGGTATTCTGCCAAGGGAATGGGGGAAAGGTTCGGGACAGGAAATGGAAATTTAGTCTGAGCCTTGAAGGATGAGTAGGAGTCTGCCAATCTGAGAAGGGTGGAAGATGGGAGAACAGATGGGAGAAATGACATGAGCAAAGGCTTTAGAGGCTTGAGAGCACCACAAGGGTCAGGGGCCAGTCTCGTGTTACAGCGGGTGGCATGGTGAGGAGAGGTGGTGCATGGGGCCAGCCTACTGAGCACGGGGCATAGTCTAGTAAGTGGCACCAGCATAAGCAAAAGCATGGATACAAGAAAGTACCTCTTGAGAAACCCAAGGTCTGTCAGCATTTGCTCAGAGGTCACACGCCCCATGTGTCCCACGGCCTGTACTGTGTTCTGAGGACCCAGTCATGCCTTGGAACTTCAGCCTTAATTTTTTAAAAGGTGCCCAGTTACCCTCTCAGTCCTTTAGTGGCATCCCCATTAAGCCTTATCATAGGAGGGTGCCCTGCATGCCCCTGCAGGGACATTTCTGAGTTTGGCTCTGGGAATGACCCTTCCTCTGGGCCTACTCTCTGGGGGCTCAGTCCCAGGGCTTTTAGAGGGCCAATTTAATACTCAGGAAGAGCCCAAGCCATCCAGAGTCCTTCCTAGGAGTGCAGCTTAAACAGGGAACTGGCTGGGCAGAGCATCTGCGAGCAAACAGAGCTGGAGGCATTCACAGTCACTGCCCAGAGCTACCTGGCTTTTTTTATCCTCACAACCCCATGGGACAGGTGTTAATATCCTTATTTTTACCCATAAAGAAACATGCGGAGAGGGGAAGTAAACTGTCCAAGGTCATGCATGCTGTGTCAGAACCTGGATTCAGATGCAGGCCTTCTGACCTTGTCTACCACACCACACTGTCTCTGCACTATAAATCCTGTGTGGCTCATTATCTGGCAGGAAAACAATTCCCAAAAAGGAGACCAGGACCATTCAAAGTAGGTCAACTATATAGCACAAATATCTCTTTTCCTTTAGAAAATCCTTTCCTTAGAGGTTTTTGTGGGCAGACAGGGCTGGAAGCTGGGTACTGGGAGACGAATGGGACTTGAGCCCTACACTCAAGGAGCTGTGTGTGTGTGTGTGTGTGTGTGTGTGTGCACCTGTCTGTCTCAGATATGGGCGCAGACTATGACAACATGGTCTTCTCAGGGCTATGGCAAGTGGTAGCCCTGAGGCTTTCAGGGCACAGAGAAAGGAGCCCTTGACTCAGGTGTTGGAGGAAGTGAGGTAGAGAAGACTATATTAAGCTGGCTTAAAAGATAAATGCTCTTTCCACTATGGTCTGGAAGAGGAAACAAAACGAAAGCAGCATTCAGTCGATGCTGGGAGGTCACTGGATGAAGCCAGATCTGCAGTGTGATCAGGTGGAAAGTGGTCAGACCACCGGGGGCCCCCTACTAAAGGAGATTCTGTAGATAGTGAAGGTCTATTGCACTCTGAGCATCCTGGCAAGGAGCACTTCTCCGAAACTGAGCATACGACTCAGTCTTAGAACTAGAGTCCTGCACTCAGAACACCTGGCTGGAAAGGACCCTAGATGCCCTTTCCAGCCTGGAAACTGATGCCTCCCCTGGTAGGGAACATTCCACTGCTTTCTGCCACCCATAGGAATTGGGAGTTCACTCTTTCCCTTTCCTGCCCTTGTGGGATAGCTCGGTCTGTGGGACCTCCTTCCTCAGTTGGAGCTGAGATCTGCCTCCTGAGAACTCTTGGAGTTAGGTCCCAGCTTTCCTTCTGGGCCTCAGACCACAGTGTTCCCCAACCCTAGAACTTCCTGCAGAGATATGTAGACATCTTAAGTGGTTGCCAGATGACTTCATTGTCAGAATCACATTCCAATCAGTCCGTTTCCCCTAAACCTGAAGCACAGAGGTTTGATCCTTTCTAGGTTGGTCACCAGTCTTAGGGGATGGAGAAAAGAGATAACAAGCCAAAACCAGGATATGCCAAGGCAGGGACAGTGTGCTGAACATAGAAAGAGTTCCAGCTACAAAGTAGATGTCAGCTTTCCCTCTTCTAAGATAGTCACCTTCTTCTTGTATGCTATGGGAGGAAGGAGGACTTCTCCACTGGCCAGCTGCTCTCCCCACACATCTTACTCTGCCTAGACCAACTGGTCACCATTTGAAAATCTTGGCAAGATTCTCTTAAATGGGTGCCTGTTCTCTCTACCTGGACACCGTGAAAGGGATCAATGTGGGAAGGTTTCACTTTACTGCCCCAGCTTTTTGTTCTCCATGTCGTTGCCAGCCCCATCATCAAAACGTGTGTGCATCAGACTTCCTAGACATGGTTGGGTAACCAAAGGGAAAAGAAAGAAATGAAAAAATAAAACTAAATTACTGGCCAGGTGCGGTGGCTCACGCCGGTAATCCTAGCACTCTGGGAGGCCGAGGCGGGTGGATCACTCAAGGTCAGGAGTTCGAGACCAGCCTGAGCAAGAGTGAGACCCCCGTCTCTACTAAAAAAATAGAAAGAAATGATCTGGACAACTAAAAAAAACATCGTGGTGTGCTAATTATTTTATTTTTTGTAGAGACAGGGTCTCACTCTTGCTCTGACTGGTCTCGAACTCCTGACCTCAAGTGATCCTCCAGCCTTAGCCTCCCAGAGTGCTAGGATTACAGGTGTGAGCCACCGTGCCCAGACAATATATGGCCTTTTATGACTGACTTCTTTCACTTAGCATAATGTTTTCAAGGTTCATCCATGTTATGCATCAGTACTTCAATCCTTTTTATTGTATAGATATACCACATTTTTGTTTATCCATCAGTTGATGGATATTTGAATTGTTCTCACTTTTTAGCTATTGTAAATAATACTGCTATGAGCATTCACGTATAATTTTTGTGTAGACACGTTTTTATTTCTCTTGGGCACCTACCTAGGACTGGACTTGCTGGGTCTTATGATAACTCTGGTTTGTTTTGTTTTCCTTTTATGATTTTTTGTTTTGTTTTGTTTTGTTTTGAGAGAGTCTTGTTCTGTTGCCCTGGTAGAGTACCATGGCATCAGTCTAGCTTACAGCATCCTCAAACTCCTGGGCTCAAGCGATCCTCCTGCCTCAGCCTCCCAAGGAACTGGGACTAGAGGTGCACGCCACCACACCTGGCTAATTTTTTCTATTTTTAGAAGAGATGAGGTCTCACTCTCTCACTCAGGGTGGTCTCGAACTCCTGAGCTCAAGGATCCTCCCACCTTAGTCTCCCAGAGTGCTAGGATTACAGGCGTGAGCCACCGCACCCGGCCATCCCTGGTTTCTTTAACTGGAGAATGGATACTAGAAATCAAGAGATGTAGGGCTACGTGTGTTCATTGCTACTGCAGTGCTGATTCTTTGAGGCTCTCTCAGTTGACAGATGAAGGAAATGTGTGTATACTAACATGTATATACACATATCTGTAAATATTTCTCTATATAGACAACTATCTCTATATTAAACTAGGCTTGAATTCAAACTGATGTCTCCAACTCTGATCCATTACACATGGATCATTCTAGCCTCCTCCCCATGCTTACTTGTAAATTCCCACTCCACCAGTGAGAAATCTGGCTCCCATTGCTCTAGGGATTCCAGTGTGCATCTTGACTTATCAGCATATATTTAATATTGTACTACTTCACATAAGACACAGGAAACTTACCATAGTATAATTCTATTTTCCCATTCCCCTTCCCGTCCTCTCTGCTATTTTTTTGCGATTCATCCATAATTTTGCTTATACTTGTGGATAATTCTCATTGTTGCATATTATTCCATTTTGTGAATATACTGGTGGATCCATCCTTCTATAATTTGTTTCTAGTGATATTGTGAACACTTTTTTACCTATTTTTTTTGGTGAACGTAAGTTCTCACTTCTGTTGGGCGTATGCTAGGAGTGGAATGGATTGGCATGCATATGTTTGGCTTTACTGATCAGTTTCCAAAGCAATTGTACCAGTTTTCACTCATTCCAGCAGTGTATGAGATA